AAAGAAAAATAAAGCAAAAGAAACAAAAAAAAAAATCAGAAAAGGCACAGCACCTCGGCTTAGACAAAGACAACACATAGTAGTCTGTAATCTCCACGGGAAATTGTTGTAGAAAATGATAGTCCTACCGTTGTTCACATTCACTGAACTCCATGAGATGGGGATTCAAATTGAGGATGCCATGAAAAAAGGGTTGATCATTGATGAGAGAGAGCAAGCCAAAAGGCCTTTTGTGTGCAGTTCCAATGCAACCACTAGTGGTAGCATTGCTGCACGGCCGTTTGATGTGAGTGTTGTCACCACCACAACCAAGACTACTAATCACTTTGCCAATACAACTCCACACTATGTCTGACTCTCCTCCGTCTTGTAACCGGGGGTAACGAAGCAAACACTGGCTATCCTCCAATAAGATCCTCAGATCGGTAAATCTACCTTACTCAAGTCCAGAGTGCTCGGGGGGTAACTGCTCATCTGAAGCAATTGTGAAACACTAGCTTGCAAAAAGAAAAATAAAGCAAAAGAAATAAAATCAGAAAACGTACAGCACCTCGACTCAGACAAAGACAAAACACAGTCGAAATCTTAGGCTGGACGACTGTCCTCAAACACTAATTTCTGTCCCAAATTTCTACCTCAAAAATGATACCCTCAAACTGATACACAAACTTGCAACTGATACATACATTCCTGCAGAGTTACACTCTAAAAGCACGTATCAAGCAAGCGAGAGCCAAAACACCCCTATGATGGGGTAGGGTTGTCATTTCCTAATCTCGTTAGGAGCTAGGGGTTCACTACGCAAACAAGCGGTTTCATAAAATCCTGCATTCAGGTGAGCAACATGTCCTCGTTCAGAACAGTCTCTATGGCTTCCGATATGCAACTAGGCCGATTGGAAAAAAAAAAGGTACCTAAGCAAGACTACCTAATATACCTCTCGCACCTAACACCGAGAAGTGAAAGGAGGATACGGTAAAGCGGTAGTCCAGATCCAAGGCTTGTGTTCCCATCATGGCAGAGCCCGCAACCGGTTAGCCTTTTGGCAAGCTTTTCCAAGCAAGCCACCAGCAAACTGCTCAGGAATAATAGATGGAAAACACTGTGACTTAGGCGCACCGATGCAAATGCAATGCAAAGAAACACATAAGTGTAAATAAAACAACATATCATGAGTTTGAGTCAAGTTCTCTAAATCCCTAGCAGAGTCGCCAGAAACTGTGGGCTCGCCTTTTTTTGTTCCCCCGCACTTTTCGAAAAGGGTTTGAAAAGAAAGGCACTCATAATTCAGACTCTACCTGTGGTTCTGAATCTAGTCTCACAAGTGCAATGTGAAACTGATACACACCAAAGAGTCTAATCCGGCAAATCATTTGGGAAAATTGATTTTAGATTAAACAATGCCAAAACTGGACTGCTTTGCTAGATTACAGAGTCGCCACCTAAATATTTTGTTTTGGAGAAATTTAGGAAACCCTGACTCGTGCCAAAGGCCACGTGTCCGTCATCACCAAAGTTGCCTCAGCTCGGGAACTTAGGTACGAAGGGAGAAGGTCATGAAATAAGCACCCTCGCTAGCCCGATCAAAGATCGGCCTCTACTAAACATGATATGCTCTTTTATAAACATTATGTGTTCCTATTCCGGTTACTAGTTAACTTTACTATGTGACGCACACAAGCAAGTATAGACTAAATCGCAAGAATTGGAACATTTGAAGTCATGTTTGTTTTTGAAAATTGTTTGAATTTGCCACCTGCAAGTGGGCTTAGAAATGCGGATGTGCCACCAAACAAGATGGGCATAAAACATGATTTTTCACTTCGCAAAGTAGGCTTAAAACTTACATTTGTTGAATTGTTCCAATTCAAGCAACAAGCCTTCATCCACATGCATTCATGCAGTTTAGCATTTAAGCACGTAACCTTATGGCAAGCATGCGAAACATGGCAATATGGCAATCACACTCATGCAAGTATGCTAAAGCATAAAAACTCACCGAGTACTCCAAGCCAAAACAAAAACCAGTTAGAAAATAATGCATGATCCTAACTATACAAGATGCCTAATGCAACACATGCAATATGAAATTAATAGGCTCAGCTACTAATATGGCATACAAAGCAACTTAAACAACATGCTTTTAAACACGTATTCAAAGAAGTATTGAAATTGCAATGCAGTTTGAATGATGTGCCGAGCCCCGGTGTATGCAAGACAAATGAATGGATGCAAACATGCGAGCATAAGGTATGCTAATTGAAAATGTCCCTAATCTAACCATCGAAAACAATTAAATAAAAGGGAGAAAGGCGTGGGATTAGAAGACATGCACACACACATGCACACTTATTACAACATTGTGCCCTCGCGAAAGAGGGTCCGAATAAATAATTAGCTAAGCTACTTTAAGCTAAGCTAATCAAACTAATCTAATTAAACTAATTAGACTAATTATTACAAATCAGATGAATAACTAGCAAACTACTAATTATTACAATACTTAACTAATTAGCAACTAATTAATTAAATTACAACACAAATGTACATAAACTAATCATGCAAAATATTTAAACTACACTACCTCAGCTCTGCTTCGGGAAGTGGAGGATGCATGCACTCGGTTTTCGCCCCGAAAAGCCTCTGTTTTGCTCTTAAGAGGCTCTGTTTGTAGGCTTGAATACACTCCAGAAACTTTCTGCTCCAACTTACCAAAAACTTGATGAGGATTGCACCAGTGGCCTGCCGGCCATGGGAGGTTTCTGCCGGTCAAAAGTGTGCCTTGCCGGCTAAGAATGAGACACTGTCGGCCATCAATGAGCCACTGCCGGTCACTAGTGCTCTGAGTCACCACACTGCAACTGAGCACAAATAGAGGAAAATAAAGGTGTTTCCAGGGGTTAATTTGTACTGTGCCTCTCCTTATCATCTGAAATCCTCAAAGAAATAGCACACTTGGATCCAAAACCACCAACCAATTATCTTCGATGCATGATGGTCAAAGAACCAAGGAGTACAAGTTCATTGTATGCACAAACAAGACTCAATACCACCAACTTATCATGTGTGATCAAAGGCAATGGAGACCAAGGAGATTGGCTCATTTCATCACTTTGAGTATGAAATGCTCCAATCTTTCTTGTGTTTAATATAACGTCCGATTGAACACATGCAATGCAACACAACATGCTTATCTTACTCAAGTTTTACTTTTCATTTTTGTTTACTCATTTTAAGTTACCAACTCATTCTTTAATTGATTTAGTCCAATGGTGAGGGTCCTCTAATGGAAAGAGGGCTTAAACCACAAGTACCTCGAGCATGAAAGGGGCCTCATGCTATTGGTAATGAATTCCCGAAGGAATTAAACCATTAGGCATGAGGGTCTCAATTCCACACTCAAGCCAACAAGGGGTTCAAAGTCACTTTCAAAACAAATGAAAGAGTGAAGAATAGAGGGAGATTACAGATATTTCAGTGCTGAAATGGAGTTCAAAATGACACTAAAATATGCAAGCAACTCATGCAATTCATGTTTAAAAGCCTAAAACATTAAGCTAGTGAAGGATATTGCACCACAACTATGCAATATAAGCCTCAAATGAATTAACCAGCCCAAAACAGAGCCAAAAACATGCTGGACAAAAGCTAAGTTAGGCTAGAAAAACATGCTAACACACAAAGCTATCTAGGCATGCAAACAAGACATAAGGAGGAGAGGCTAACCCCTCCTATTTCGGACTTCAAAACATGATTTTTGCCACTGAAAATCCTCTAAAATTCAGTAGTTAGAAGGGCCAAAAAATTTGAGTTGAAAGTATTGGAAGATAGCACAAAAGCTTTAACAGACCAAGGAGCAAAAGGGTGAACCACCCCTAACTCAAAAGGAACCTCAAACCACCATTTTTAAACCATAAAAATATAGATTTCAAGAGGTCAAAACCAGCCTTAAAACACTATGTAAAGATGGCAAAACAAGTATTCAAATAAAGCTCAAAATACAAGTGTTCTACCTCTTGAGGACGAGATGCAATTTACGCACCAAAACCAAGCTAAACCAAGCCAAAGTCCTCTTCTAAAGCCCAAAGAGGGCCTCATGTAACCTCAACTCAATGGTGATCAAGTTTGATCAAGGGTTCATATGCAAAAGTGTAGAGAATTTAGGCTATAAGGCACAAAATATCAAGAGAGAGAGAATTCTAGAGAGAGAGAGAATTTTTTTGTCTTCAAAATTTTCTAACCCCTCCACATGCAAGAGAGGGCTTCTATATATAGACAATGCAAAATCCCCTCATAAAGATCCATCCACACATGTGTTGAAAGATGCTTCAATCTGTGCAAACAGTTGACACAAAATATCAGAAAATATCTACTGATACACTGGTGGCCGGTCGGCCATCAGTGATGGCTGGCAGGGCTTCATTGATGGTCGGAAGGGCACATCAATGGCTGGCAGACCAAGAGTCATGGCCGGCAGTGCCCAAAGATGGCCGGCAGGCCATCAACAACATCAAGCTGAAAGGACCTAAACATGGTCCCAAGATGAGACATAATGGATACAGGGTTTGGAAAACTCAAACCTGTGGCGTTCCGTCGTGGAGTTCGAGCGCTTGACGAGTAATCAAACTCATCATCGGATGTACCTACAAGAACATCCAAGTCTTAAGGACGGTCAAAAATGGGGTGTCTATAGTATCGACTCCCTCTCTTAGAGATTGTTGGGGTAACATCAACGGACTTGACATTTTCAGTTGCTTTTGCTTATCTTGGTCATGAACGGGAGGACAATTATATATGGGCTTTAGGAGTATTGCGTACTGTTATGGACAATACTGCTTTTTCCAAAAGTCATTATTACAGATAGAGAGTTGGCTTTGATGAAAGGCCTATCAAAAGTTCTACCTATGCCCACGAATCTTTTATGTAGATGGCATATTAGCAAGAATGTTCTGATGAAGTGCAAGAAGTTTTTTGAGACGAAAGATAAATAGGATAAGTTCATGTATAGTTGGAGTGCTTTGGTGTTGGTTAGAACAGAAACAGAATTCAATGAACAATTTTCCAATCTCAAGACCAAATTTAGTACATATCTTGAAGCTATTAAGTATGTTACTACCAATTGGTTAGAGCCATACAAGGAAAAATTTGTTGCAGCTTGGATAGACAGTATTATGCATTTTGGAAATACCACTACAAACAGGTAAATTATGGTCATTACATTTATGAATTGTTATAATTTTTTATTTTTATATTAAATACCAAAATATACATACTTGTAGGGCGGAGAGTTCTCATGCTAAATTGAAGAGGCAACTTGGATCAAGTCAAGGCAGTTTTAAGACATCTTGGACCAAAATACACAATTTGTTAGAGTTGCAGCATGCAGACATTAAAGCCTCATTTCAGCAGAGTTTGATTGTAGTCCAACACAAGTACACACCTACTGAGTTCACTAAGTTACGTGGTTTTATTTCAATTTGTAGTTTGGACAAAATATTGGTAGAGTCAAAGAGATCGAATAGTGTGGGAATAGATGTTGCTGCATGTGGCTACATTTTGCGACGTACACATGGGTTGCCATGTGCACATGAAATAGCTGAGTATTTTCAACAAGGGCGACCGATTCCCCCCTTGTTCGTAAATCCTCATTGGAGGAAGTTAGATATGCTTTCAGTTTCAGAAAGTGCTTTTGTGGAGTTGGATTGCAAAACAGAGACTGATTTTTTTATTGAGAAATTCCAAACGATTAACGAAACACAACAAGTGATCCTTCTGAAGAAGTTGAGGGAGTTAATTAGTCTAGACAGTACATTTTTTATGGAACTTGAACTCAAGGCTGACACGAGAGGTAGGGACCGAGGTCGCGGCCGTGGTTAATTCAAAATTGATACATCTACTAAACGCGAGCCATCTACGTTTAAGTTTGTACTATCTAGGGAAGATAGTTATTCACAAAGTGTTACTATCTCAACTGCACCAGTTCGTAAGCAAGTGCAACGAAAGAAGGCAAAAAAAGATAATGTATGTAATTACATAAAACTTGTAACTATGTACAAAACTCATTTTAATTATTTCATATATCCACTGTTGTATATTTGTGATGTAGGTCTGTATGACGCAGCCAACAAATCGAATCTGTTACTTCAAACAATTTTCAGAGAAGTTGAGACCATATATTTGTCATATAAAAGATATACAAGCAGATGACAATTATGGTTTCAGGGCAATAGCTGGATTGATTGGTTTAGGTGAAGATGATTGGCAACAAGTTAAGCGTAACTTGTTGACTGAGTTACATTCGAATGTAGTGCACTACATGCAACTATTTGGTTCACAAGAAAGGGTTGATGACCTTAACTCTATCTTATCCTACTTTGAACCTAGCCCTGGATTTAATCATTGGATGACTATGCCCAACATGGGCCATTTGATAGCATCATACTACCGAATCGTTCTTTATCATTTATCCATGCAACAATGCTTAACGTTTCTACCACTTAGATCAGTATCGATTGCAACACCTGAGCAAAGAGATATCTGCATAGGATTTGTAAATGGAAATCATTTCGTGCAGGTAACTACTGACTCTACTCATATCATTACCATGTCTTATTTTGTAATTCTACTTATTGATTTCTTTGTTATAGGTTTATCTGCAACCTGGTCATCCAGTACCTCTGATAGCAAATTATTGGATTCGTTTTCATCACCCGTGTGCTAGTGGATGGGAGAAACCATATACTATTCGTATTCATCAATTCCGTACTCTTATTAGCCCTGACATAGTAACTACCGAAACAATCGATATAGACGAATTGTGATAACATGCTTGATTGATGGATGCAAACAATGACATATTTTATGAATGCTTTTATGGATATTCATACACTTGATTTTGTTATGAAATATTTTATGGATACTTTTTATGTATGATTTTGTAGATGCTTGTTTGATTTATGGATATTTTTTTATCGAAATGGATTAATTCAAATTCGTTACCGAACAGGCCCGAATTATCGTTTGGAACAAAGTGGCTCTGTAAATGTATAGCAACAGAACACTGGACAAATCTATTTTTCCCAGTAACATAACACCAGAAAAATATAATTTTTCTAGTACCGTGTGACCAAACAGACAATTCACAGTGGACTCCATTGACTTTGTTGTAAAGCAAATTGAAATTATCCAATTGTATAGCAACATAATGCTGGGAAAAAATATCATGTCTAGTAACACGACACTAGAGTAATTGAAATTTATTAGCATTTTATTACCGAATAGGCCCACCACAAATTATTACCACATTATTTAGGAGGAAGTGGCTTTGTAAATGTATAGCAACAAAACGCTAAGAAAACCAATTTATTTCAGCATTATAACACTGAAGTTTTGTAAATTGTTTCGCATTGTGTGACCAAACATGCACTTCAATGTGGGCTCCACTGGCTTTGTTAGGAAGCGAACTAAAATTATCCAATTGAACGGTAACATAATGCTGGGAAACAAAATTGTATCCGGTAACATGGCACTGGAATATTTCAAATTGTTTAGCATTGTATTACCGAATAGGCCCAGTACAAATTAAAAAACATTGTTTAGGAGAAAGTGGCTCTGTAAATGTATAGCAACTAAATGCTAGAGGGATCTATTGTTTCCGGCAACTGAAGATCGGAATAATGGAAATTGTTTAGCAGTCTGCCACTGAACTGGCCTATAGCACTAAAAAAACAATGTTACTTCCAGCAAATGATGTCATATCCCTCCAAAACACTTTAATATCATTACAATGCATTACAAACAATAACAAATCTATATGTTCACCAAAATAATTTTTCATTCACATAAATATTGAATACAAAAAAGATGTGAAATTGTTTAAAATTCTTACAAAAGTATGACAATTCATTACTTGTCTAACCAAACATCCAATTTACCAAAGATCCAAGACATCCACAAAAACTATGCCATTAGGGAAAAGTATATCCCAAACTCTGTACGGGCTAGGCATTCACAAAAACTATGCCATAAAAAAAATTAGATCCCAACTCTCACGTATGGTCAACACAAAACTATATCCCAAACTCTGTATGGGCTAGACATTCACAAAAATTATGTCAAAACAAAAACTACATCCCAAGTCTCATGTACGGTCAACACATAACTATGACATCAAAAAAAAACTAGATCCCAATGCTTATGTACGGTCCATCCTACGACGCTTATGATAGTAGAGTTAATGCTCTGTACGTGTCAATGTAGATCCCAAACTTTGTCCATCAAGAACTTGCAGCATCTGACCAATGGTTTCATACAGCATGTCAGGGTGCAAGACACACTCATCACGACCGAGCCTATGAACTGCAGCACCAACATTGAAAGCAGCATCATTACACTGCAAAAAAATTGATAAAAATCGTACTTAGTGTCTGATTTATGGTGAACCACTTAAAAGTGAAATAAGTTAATTCACAATATGCTTACCCACTCAGCATCCATGGTAACATCATTCTCGGGACGTTGAACACGTGGATCAAACTGAGAGTGATGCGTAGGATTTTGAACAACTCGGTGTGAAACACGAGCATACCACTCATAATATCCCCGTACACATTCAGATGGGCTCTGCTGTACAGGCACACTACGAACGTTAATAGACAACACATGATTCTCTCACTGCACTCATATCGTGTCATGGTATTCATACATGATTTTGTACTTTCCTGGTTTACTGCCTCGTGTAGCTCGAACTGGAGATAATGGTGCTGGTGGGATGGTTTGGACCCTACCAAACTGTCGCAAAACCCTATTGGGGTGATAGGGTTCAACAATATTAAATCATTTCAAACATCCGGTATAATATGCAACCTCAAGAAGTGGATGGTGTGTCCTACATAAATGGTATGGATCCCACTCGATCTACAAATAGGCAATGCATAATGTTAGTTATGAAATCTTATTTTTTTTTACAATATGACACTATTACAAAATGCCTAACCTCATTAGCACGTAACATGTCAAGTTGCTCTCGTAATGTCTGCAAGTGGTCTTCTGTAAAATTCCCATCTCTCTACGGACTCCAACGACAAACACAAGGTTGTTCATCAGAATAGGACAAATTTGGATGAGGCCTTTCTAAGCGAAAATGCTCATAAATCCATGCTTCCAATAGCTTCAAGTACCCAGCAATCTGCTTAACACCAGCCCTACTACCAAGTCCTAATTGTCTATACAGGAATGTCAAAGCTGCAGCACCCCATGCATATGAGCTAATAGCATCAATGTCAGTCAACATGTGCAGGAAAGCAATGGGTACTCGAGTCCCACTCTTGTCAGCGAAGAGGGTATAACCTAATAAATATAGCAAGTAAGCTCTCGCTGCATATTCTATGAAATTTGCATCATCTGTATCTTTAACCTCATGAAATCTGATTCTCAACCACTCTAGCTTCACGGATTGCCTGCGAGATTGAACTAATTCTGTAAATGCATCATTCACTAGCACTCCCAAAGTAGCACTCACTAGTTTAGCAGACTCGTATCTTGTTAACTTAGGACATGAATAAGCCCAACCAGTGACTGGAATGCCAAGTATGGTCCGCACATCATCTAATGTGACAGTCATCTCACCGTCTAGCATGTGAAATGTATTTGTCTCTGGATGCCACCTATCAACGAAGGCAGATATTGCCACTCTATTGCCATGCCGCTATGTGTGATCAATAAGGACACTAAGACCAGACTGCTCAACCAAATGTCGCCACCTAGCATTTTCCAGTGTTGGCGACATCCATGGCCACTAGGCAAGCTTTCGAGAATCATTCAAACATTTAAGAGGTCCCCATTCCTTCATTTCACATGAAAATATAAATAATTTGAAGCATATAGTACATATAATTAGTTTATTGTTGAGAAATTCAAAAAATACCTTTTTTTTCCAAATAGCGGCAGCAACATGGTTACGGAAGCTAATTAGCAATGCAAGATCCTCTGGAGCACCCGAAATTGGTTCTGTGTTGTCATCGTCCACACCAACATCGTCCTTCATGAGGTCAACCTCTACACCAATATCATTATCGTCATCGTCATCCTCATCCTCCACACCAACATCGTCGTCAACATCATCATTATTCACATCCACATGGTCATCCTCCTCCACAGGGACATTCACTTCCAATACTTCAGGTTCTATTTGCCTAGCACGTCTTCTATTGGATGTCGTTGTTCTCTTACGTGAGACACCACTAACCATTTCTATGTAAAAAAAAAATATTAAACCCAATATCAGCAAAAACTCGAATATATTAAATGATATATGTAAACAATATCAGCAAAGAAATCATAATTTCATAGATAACATTCGGTTTAAAAAAGAAAATTTTCATGTGCAAATGTATAAAAAAAGGAAAAAATTCTAATTATAGAAGAGAAAAATACATGATTTATTAATACATAATGTTTTAGAAAAAAAATATTAAAATGATAAGTAAAGGGGAACTCGACACCATTTGAAACTTTTTTGTCTCAGAAAATTGCATCAGCATATTGCAAGAGGGAAACATATTTGCCTATTAAATCCAAAAGTATGAGGTTGTAATATGAGTTCAAACTATAGAAACAACAATACTTTTTTAATAAACTTGGATTTGGGTGTGTTTGACTTCTATCTAACTTTCCCCTAGTGGACTTCAAATTGATTTTAGACACAAAGTAATATAATAAAAATGAAAAAGAAACAAAGACTCACGACATAGCTTCTTATAATTAATTTGTACATTGTTCCCAATTTGGCGTTAAATTGTCAAAAAGTGAAAAGACCAGCTTGCTTGTTTTCTGTAGTCATTATCTGGAACTGTTCCGTATTGATAAGGTTTAGAACTTGGATTGGACCCTTGTTTTCTTCTTTTTCTTGCTGTAAATTTTTAGGCTCATCTTAAGTGAAGTATTGTTTAGATACATGCGTCAGTGATTAAGAAGTGGACCTGTGTTTCATAAAGGGTTTTGGCACTTTAGTTACATGTTTCACTTGGGGTCTTTTACAACAACTTGATCTAAATAGGGCCATGTTTTTAGTATTTTTGCATGAAGTTCTTGTAGACTATTGCCCCAAATATTTAGATAGGTGATAATAAGTTATTTCACCTGGGTGACTTGTTGCACAATTGGAATGCAAACTTGAAGTGTATAATCATCAAGGGCCCATTCAATACTACTATGATCTAAAAGTTAAAATTAATGAAATGTATTTTATTTTTAAAAAAAAAAATTATTAAAAAGTGCATAGAAACTGTGCTTGAAATGGGCTTTTCTAAATGCGTGCTGAGGATGGAAGCAATTTTGGCAAGCTTTCAACTGTTGGAGTGGCACCATTAATAATACTAATGCTCTTAGTTTTCTCATTTTTGTTCTTTTATTTGAATATAGTGCATGAGATTTGCAAATAACAGTTCCTTTTTTTTTTTAAATTTGGAACTCTTTGCTTTTTAGTAACAATTTGAAATATTGAAATTAGAGTAATCCAATGTAAGGATTGATCGAAATGCAAGATTTGGCTTTAAAGGGTCTAATCCAAATCTTATCCCTAATTCAATACCAAATCTTTGAACCAAGTAATGCCCTAAAGTGTAAGCTTCCAGTCTGAGTTTGAATTTTGGTGAAAGCTATGTAACTTAAGCAATTGCCTTCAATTAGCATGAATAATTATAACAATGTCCTAGCTTTCTACAACTTTTATTCAATTAAAAAACAAGCAATTTGTATATTGTAGTTGTATATGCATATTTGTGGCAGTGATGGTTGGCCTAATGGTGGATTAGCAATATTA